GCCTGTAATCCCAGCTACTTAGGAGGCCGAGGCAGGAGAATCGCTTGAACCCTGGAGGCAGAGGTTTCAATGAACCGAGATTGCACTGCACTCCAGCCTGGGTGAGACAGAACAAGACTCTGTCTCAAAATTATAATAATAAGTATGCACTGATATAAGACTTACTGTGGGTGACAGTCTACTTTCCTGACCATTTGAATGAGATAACATTAACAGTTACAAGTTTTATTGGCCTCAGAACCACATCAAAGGTTATAGAGCAGGGATCTCCAATTCTTGAATTTCCCAATTTCAAAAATTCTGGATTCAATATATTTAACGTGAGATACATTTATCATAAGAACTGTTGCAAGTTTGACCACATGGGTGGTACTCTGATGACCAAGGATATTTAAAATGTGAAATACATTGAGATTGATTCGTGATTCCCTTAGGTACTGAATAATTCTTGGTATTCAAGTTTTAAATTTTATTTGTTCATGAAACACATTCAAATATATAGACAAGCAAAATCCACTAAGAAAACATGTATTTTCCTACTCCTGGTAGGCTTATGAGGCTCCACTTGCAGAATAAAGAGGAAAATTTCCAGAAAATGTGGATGGAAGTGGGTCTAGGTGAATCGAGGTGCCTTTAGATGCCATGTGAGGATGTCTGCATTTCATTCTGGGGCCATGGCAACTTCTGACAAGCAGAGGTCCAGTTGGGCAAAGAGAGAAGCCCAAATCTAAGCAATGGCGAGAGGATGGAGAGATGGAGCAAACGAAGACATCGCAGAAGTAAAGTCCAACAGGTCCCTAACTCATTGGAAAGTTGCAAAGGAAATGGAGAGCCATTGAGGGGTTGTATTGGTTTTCTATTACTGTGTGACAAATCACTACATTGCAGCTTCAAACAACACCTGCTTCTTGTGTCTCAGTTTCTGTGGCTCAGAAATCTGAGCCAGTCTTTGCTGGACCCTCTCCTCGGGGTCTCACAAGACTACTGAAAGAGTGGGCCAGGCTGTGTCTTCATTTGGAGGTTCAACTGGGGAAGAATCTGCTTTCAAGCTCATTTGAGTTGCTGGCAGAATTCACATGACTGAGGCACTTGCCCCAGAAGCCACCCATCATTCCCTGCCATGTGAACCCCCTCCACAATGTGGCATCTGCTCAAGGACAGAGGGAGAACATCTGCTGCAGCTTCAAATCTCTGACTTCTCTCATCTATGATTTCTGCACCCTCTTCCAAAGAGCTCACCTGATTGGGTCAGACCCACCATTGTCCAAGGGGAGGGCCAAGAATCTTAGCATTCTGCCTACCACAGTGGTGGCATGAGGAGAGAAAAATCAAGAGTTTGGCTTTGGACATACTGATATTTGAAGGGCCTGAGGGATATGCCAGTCAGAGAAAATATGAGCATTTAAGAGCTGGAGAATTAGATTGGGTGATGCCATGGGAATGAACACAGGGCCAGAGAGACTCCTGGAGACCAACTGTAGAGTGGACTAGAACTGACCAACTGCTTACAACTAATGAAATGTAACGTCCACGTGTAGTTGTTCCTTCCTGATCTCCTTATACTCTGCTTTCTTCTTTAGGCCTTCCTACTTGGCAGGGATTCTCTAACATAATTTCCAACTGTTTCCCTGAATATGGGTTTCTGGAGAAGCATTATACTTTCCAAAGTGGTCTCTGTTCCCAGAAAAGTTGTTTTCCAGGGGAATGCATGCTCCCATTGTCTGTGTGTTTAGCTAGGTTTGGTTAAACAGGTCAGGTGTGGTGGCTCACACCTCTAATCCCAGCATTTTGGGAGGCTGAGGCAGGCAGATCACTTGAAGTAAGGAGTTTGAGAACAGACTGGCCAACATGGTGAAACCCTGTCTCTACTAAAAATATAAAAATTAGCTGAGTGTGAGAGTGCACGCCTATAATCCCAGCTTCTCAGGAGGCTGAGGCAGGGGAATCACTTGAACTTGAGAAGCAGAGGTTGCAGTGAGCTGAGATCATGCCACTGCACTCCAGCCTTAGGCAACAGAGCAAGACTCCATCTCCAAAAGAAAAAAAAGTTTGGTTAAACAGACATGACAGATTTTGGAGACTCAATTCCATCTCATGCCGAGAACTAAACATTTCAGCAATCGGAAGCATGAGCTAATGTTTTGTTGTTGTTGTTGTACCATGGTGTTTTTATTAGAATGATCACATAATGTGAAATTAATCTTTTTATTTTGAAATAATTTTGTTTTTTGAGTGGATCTGTTATCAATAGTGACTTTTACAATGCTTGCATTCCCTAAATTCTGAGAATGGTCACATCCTTCCTCTTTCTGAAGTACTTAACTTGTGGCCACTCCTCCACATACTTCTTTGTTTTCTCTCATAATGTCCCTGTTGTCCTCAAAATCAGCAGAGAGAAATAGGAACACATTTATGTCGCTCTTTTAGCTCAGATTTGTTGCCACTGAGCCATCTGCAATGCATCCTTTAAGAAGCAATGGACGTGCAGGGCCACCTGCTGGACAGTCAGAACTGAGCACACAGCCTCCAATACCAGCTGCTTACCTTACCATCTGAGACAGATGACTCGGCACAAGGAGAGTTAAGGACTGAGAGAGTTCGGAAGGGCATCAACCTCCAGCTGCCCAAATTTTCCAGGGGCTCCCCCCTAGAGCATGTGGGTGGTGCAGCTGACCTGCTGACCTCAGCCAAGCTCTCCTGTTCCTCGCAGTCTTGGTCCCTGCACAGGATTAAGTAATTAACACTCCTGAGTCACCTTCTCCGTGCCAGGCATTGTTCCTGATGCTGTATGTCATCAACTCTTGAAGCCTGTCATGCTCCAGACAAAGGGACAATTTGAAATGCCACACGGTGTCACTGGAAGATGACTCCTTAATCAAGGACACTGATCAGGTACTGACTTGGCATTATTCTCAGAGGAATAATGACAACTAACATATTTCCAAGTAACAGCATTCTACATTAAGGGTAAATTTTGGTTTTGTATTTTTTTCTTAACATTTATTCAGATTCATAGGATAAATGTTTTTACCAACTTTTGTCAGCACTGATTGAGTATTGCAAATGCACATTCATGTTTTCACTTGGGCTCAAGCATCTGCTTGCTCTTAACAAGTTCTCAACAACTTTTCTCATTCTTTTTTCTTACCTTGAACCTATTAAATTTTGGTAACTAGTTTGTTATGGTTTCTATGCTAAATCACTTCTTTTTGCTATATATATGTGTATATATATGTGCGTGTGTGTGTGTGTGTGTGTGTGTGTATAATTTTTTAAACCAAACCCTCTTTTCAGCAATAATCTCATTTATGGATACCTGAACTAATTTATTTAAAAGCCCAGTAGATATGATTACAGGATGTATTTTCCACCAATGTTTACTTTTTGCAGTGTTTGCAAAGTGTGTAATATATTTAGTTTTTTTCTTTTTATCATTCATGTACTAATAATTGTCATGAGAATTTAATGCAGAAGAAAAAAGTTTAATACTTATAGCTTTTTGGTTATAGCAAAGTGTGTATGGCCATATCACCCTGAACATGAACTAATCTCATCAAGTTATAGCAAAGTAAATATTAATTTAAATTTTTATCATATTCTGTTGTAGAGAAAAATGTTTGGGATATGAATAAGATTTTTAAATATAAAAATATTACATTTAACAAAACTCTGAGGGATGTGGAATGGAAATAAAAAATAAAAGACGAGGCTGGGTGCTGTGGCTTACACCTGTAATCCCAGCATTTTGGGAAGCCAATGTGAGTGAATCATAAGGTCAAAAGATCGAGACCATCCTGGCCAACATGGTGAACGCCCGTCTTTACTAAAAATACAAAAATTAGCTGGGCGTGGTGGTGCATGTCTGTAGTCCTAGCTACTCGGGAGGCTGAGGCAGGAGAATCTCTTGAACCCTGGAGGCAGAGGCTGCAGTGAGCCGAGATCGCGCCATACACTCCAGCGTGACAGAGCGAGACTCTGTCTCAAAAAAATAAATAAATAAATAAAACTTAAATAAACAAAAAATAAAAGAGGAAACAAATCATGTAAATTTTAAGGGGGGAGGTAATTTTATTTTAACATTTTACATTATGTGGGAACTTACACATCTCTTAAAACTATTAAATGTATTTTTTAAAAATAACCCCTGAGCTATCACTCTTTAAAGAATGTGGTAGTGGTAAAAGATTTTTGTTTGTTTTGTTTCGTTTTGTTTCATATGTATCATGTAGGATTGTTGCATAGGTACATACATGGCAATGTGGTTTGCTGCCTCCATCCCCCTGTCACCTATATTTGGCATTTCTCCCCATGTTATCCCTCCCCGGTACAAGTTTTAACAAATTCTTTTGAGACTACTCTATCGGAAAAGTGAGCAGACCAGGGTATAACAATTTTAACCCCAAGAATTGTAAAGATTAAAAAGGAAAGCGCTGTCGCAGACGCTCAACCACGGTGCCAGCTCTGCTTCCTTCATCAGTTGCTAGGGTCATGGGACACAAATACTAAAATATGTCCACTAGTGGTGACAGTGCTGGCGAACGCTTTGCCAATCCAGTACACACCGACCTCTCATTGGAGCTTGCGTGACCCGCAGGAGTGAATAAGGACCCCTCCAGTTTTGAACGCCATTGCTGCACTGCAGGCGACTTCTCGGACCCCACCGTTGAAGCACCAGGCCCTCTGCCCACCCACGAGCGACCGAGAAGCACAGCGCAAGCCCACAGCTCCGGACACGTGCTCCTGGGGGCACTGCCTTCCAGTAAATCCGAGCCCTTGCCACGCCCATATCCCCCCCGCTCATCTTCGGGGCGGGGCGGAGTGACGTAAGCCCTACGGACCGGGCCGGGATTGGTGAGCGGGGCGGAAATAGAGCTGGGAGAGGTGACGTCAGCCGTCCGCCCAGGGCTCAGGACGGAAATGGGGCGGGGAGTGGGTGACGCCATGCCTCTGCCTCGGCCGGATTGGTGGGCGTGGCGGGGGCGGGGTTGGGCGGGGCGATGCCTGCCCTCCGGACAGGGCCGGGTTGGTGGCCAGGGCGACAGCGGAGTGGGCTGGTGGGCGTGGCCGGGACACGTGGTGCGGAACCGACGCCGCGCCTGCTGCTGGTAAGCGGGCCTTGCTTAGCGGGCCTTCCTTCCCTGGTGGGGGACCTGAGCGGGGAACGGGCTGGGCTGGGAGGACCGTGGGCAGCGGTGAGCGTCACGCCTTATTCGTGGGGGAGTGTGGGGCGCCCGGCCGCAGCCAGGCGGGAACAATGGTGTCCGGGCTGTTCCCGAGCGCGCGGTCGGTGGCGGAGGCCCGTTACGGCCACAGCCTCGTGGCCTCTCGCACCTCCCGGGGCCCGGGGCCCGGGGCCTGGCTCAGCTGGGCCACTCGTGTCCCAGCAGCGCCGGGCGCGTCCCGGGTCCGCAGGGACAAGCTGGGCGGCGCACTTGGCCTGGGCCTACGTGGCCCTCCCTGGTGGAGTGTTGTGTAAAGACTGTGGTTGCAGAATGGGGTTGCAGGGAGCAGAGCGCTGGTCAGTCCACACCCGTCCCCGGAGGCCTGCTGAGAACTGCAGCCTTTCTCTAACGGATCCCTTTCCGGGAGGTCTGGGGTGGGGGGGGGGTGTGGTGGGACAGACGCGCCTCAGGTTCAAAGGGTCCTGGACTGGGTCCCTAGCTCCCACCAGCATTTGAAGCTGAGTTTAAGGCTACAGGAGGAAGCATCTGAGGGGAGACAAAATTCCCTTGCCAGCTTGCAGGTCTGGGGCAGGTGTCTCGTTCAGTGGGCTTCCGTGTCTTCATCTGTGAAGCAGAGACAATATTTGGTCCGCCTGGACGAATGTCCTTGAGACCTTGGACCTCGCAGACAGAGCCACCAAACTACTCCTCCCCACTGCCCGCCAAGGTCAGATCCTAGCGTAGACTGCGTAAAGAGTCGGAGAACCCGGGGCCTGTTCGGATACCTTCCCTGTCCCTAATGTTTGTAGGCAGGAGTGGAGAAAGAGATGTTCACATTATATTTAGGGATCATGTTCTAGCTCTGGCACATTGGAGATTCCTACCCCTCTCTTAGTGGTTCTTATACAGAATTGAAGGTGTGATTTAGTTATTTGTGTAATATATGCCTTCGGTTATCAAAGGACAGGGACTGAGATTCTCAGAACCAGAAGACATTTGTGTGGCAGTTCCAGGTGCCACAGCAATTTCTCCTTCCCTCCACTAGTCTCAATGTTCAAATCATGTTACTCCCTTGCCAGGCACATTGGCTCATGTCTGTAATCTTGGCACTCTGGGAGGCTGAAGCAGACAGATCACTTGAGCCTAGGAGTTTGAGACCAGCCTGGCTAACATGGTGAAACCCTGTCTCTACAAAAAATACAAAAATTACCTGGGTGTGGTGGTGCACACCTGTAGTCCCAGCTACTTAGGAAGCTGAGGCAGGAGGATCGTTTGAGCCTGGGAGACGAAGGTTGTGGTGAATCAAGATGGCACCACTGCACTCCAGCCTGGGTGAGAACGAGACCCTGTCTCTAAATGAATAAATAAATTACTCCTTAAGAACTTTAGATTTTTAGAGGGGAATGAGGTGTCATTTGAAAAGATAATGCTTGCCTTTGCTCAATCCAACATATAGCTTTTACCTTAATTAGTGGTGTTCTCCAGAGCATATAAAAATGGTTCCATTGAACGGCTTTGTAACAGGCAGAGGTGAGACAGGAGTAACCCTGAAGTGTGAGTGGGAGAAACTGGAACCTGGCCTAACCTGGTTTGACTGGATGAGTGATGAACAGGAGTTGCTTTTTAGCCCATCTCCGATGGTGGAACAAGCTGATCTCTGTTTCCTCTCTTCTAGTGAAAGTTGTAACTTAGATAATTACAGTCATATGTCACTTAAGGATGGGGATACATTCTGAGGAAATGCATCATTAGGTAATTGGCTGTTGTGTGCACTTCCTGAGGTACGCTCACACTAACCTGGATGGTACAACCTTCTACACACTAGGCTGTATGCTGTAGCCTATTGCTCCTAGGCTACAAACCCATACAACATGTTCCTTTACTGGATACTGTAGGCAGTTTTAACAGAGTGGTAGGTATTTGTGTATCTAAACATATCCAGACAGAAAATGAACGTTTTAGCTCCATCGTGATCTTTTGAGACCACCGCTGTTGTTGACGGAAATGTTAGATGGCACATGACTGTATTTTTGAGTGACTGTAGCTACAATGCCATTGGTTAATTTGACTACAAGAGCATAATATTTATGAGAATGTTCCACAGTGAGCTTGGGATTTGTGGCATTTAATAACCGGAAACCCAAACGAAAATCACCACATGTAGCATATTGTCCTGCTAAATAGGATTTCTTTTAATGTGAACAGGTGACTTCCCTGTGTATATTTTAGGCAATAGGTGGAGAAAAATTTGATTTATTAACACTGAAAAACATCTCTCCAGCATGCTCATGGGCTCTGTCTTGCTGAGGCTCCTCCAGATGAGTGCCTCAGTGGAGAGATCCGAGCTGGCTGGGAGGTATGTAAATATTCCATGCTCTGTGGCTGGTGTTCGAAGGTAGAGGGCACTTGAGAAGGCAGCGGCTGGATCTCCCACCCATGTAGAAATCACATTTGTGACTTGCAGTGCCCTGCGGTTTCATCACCCTGCACAGCAACAGCCACTTTTGAACAGCTGCCACGCTGGGTGTCACGGTGGATAAAGTCTCCTCTCTGTTTAGAAATCACTTTGAGATCCTATGCCAAGAAAACAATGCTCTTTACCTGCAGCACGTCAGTGCACAGGTAGCTTGGCAGAGGTAGTTTGTCTGGCATGTAGACACGGGGCTGTAGTAGGGTCCTGTCACTCCGCAGCTGTGATTTCAAGGCACTTCACATCCCCGCAATCTTGAACTTGCTCAGTATAGCTGGGTGCTTTCCGCTGCAGAAAGCTAATTATGAAAGTCCCAATACTAGAATCATTTTTACATTGCATTCATTCTGACTTCTAAAAATAGTCTGATAATGTGTTTTTGCCTGTATCTGTGAGTGGGGCAGAAATTGCTGGGTGTCATGCATGAAAGCAGGTGACAGCACGCACCACAGAGGCCACATGGCCTGTTCTCTTGGTGAGGTGCTTGTGGAGGTTTAGCAGTTGCCCTTTGGCTGTATCTGGACTAAGAACATCAGCTTTCTTCAACGGAATCTGGTTTTCCTTGGGCTCTGTCATCTGTGTCATGGGTTTGTGGTGGTGGACACAGGATGTGACATTTTTGCTGGGATTCCCTGAAGAGACTGTATCCTCTGGGATAATAGAAAGTAGAAGTTATCTTTGTGCTTTAAGAGTGTAAAAATTTTTATTAAAGTCCCAGTAAAACTAAAAGTGCCTACTTTTAGTTTTCATTATATTTTCTTCAACATAGGCCCTCCCTCTGTTACCTGTGGACATAGTATTTTATATAGTTTTTCCTTCCAAATAAAGAAGGGAAAATTAGTCCCAACCTCTAACTGGTTCCCAGAGCTTTTGTCTCTGAGGCCGCAGTCACTTCCTGGAGCCTCTCTGGCTGAGGGTGTTGCAATGCTGGCCTGGAGGGTGGAGCAGCACTTTACAATTCTGAACAAGTGCCTTCTGGGCCAGTCGCCCAGTCAGTCCCCACTGGAGACAGGACTGACCAGTTCCTCTTCCTTCCAAGAACCTTCAAGATCTGCGGTCTGGGGTCTGGTTGAAAGATGGCAGCCCTCGCTACCCTGTTTAAGTATATTGATGAAAATCAGGATCGCTACATTAAGGTAAGGGAATATTCATTTTAGGAAACATTAAAATCTGATTTAATCCCACGGGGCCTAGAGAAACTGTCAAAAGCTAATATGAATTATGCCATTGAAATCCAGAGTTAGACGATCTACCTAGAGATTTGTTCCATTAGCTGCTTCTCATGGTATAGGTTACACTTTTGGTTTTTGACAGAAAGTGTTAATATGTGTTTCTAAGAATAGCAAATCTAATTGAGATTTTTGTTTCATCTCCATCAATTTCTTGTGATAGTTACAGATTAAATAGTTTACATTAAGCATGTTTTAAGTCATTTAATAATGTTATATATTAATCTGTTTCTTGATGTTAACTTACAGCATTGTGCTTTAAAGTTATTCTTCTTAGACACATTTCAGACGAAATCTTTAGAATTCTCATTCTAAAAATTATACTTTGGAAAATATGGCCATTGTCAGGATAATAAATCAGCTAATTTGGACTGTGGCGACCGTGGGTCTTTTCTGTATCTTTCAGTTGTAATTTAGTCTGATTCAGATAAAAACTTATTTATGGAAGCTGATACATTTTACATTCACTTCCTCCTTGATGATTAAAAACAAACCTTCTGACATTTTTCTTGTGTACTCTAGTTCTTGGTACAGAGATAGTACAAACAATTTAAAAAATCTGAAACACAAAGCACTTGTGATGGGTCTGCCCTTCTTGGAGTCCACCAGTTCAAGTGCAGCAGCCGTGGGGGTGGAGGTGGGGGCGAGCCAGCCATGTGTGCCTGGAACGTGGCAACACTGTGGAAGCTTTTGCTCCCTTAAGGACACCTATTCAGAATCCCTCGTTGCTTGTTGTCCACCACAGAAACTTGCAAAATGGGTATCTATCCAGAGCGTGTCTGCATGGCCCGAGAAGAGAGGCGAAATCAGGAAGATGATGGAGGTTGCCGCTGCAGACGTCAGGCAGTTGGGCGGCTCTGTGGAACTGGTGGACATCGGAAAACAAAAGGTGGGAGGCCGCATTCTTTGCATTGCAGGACCACAGATTCTGCGTGAGGGGTTGACAAGACTCCACGAGTTCTTAAAAGATCTTTGCTTCAGATAGCCCACTCATCTTTAAAACAAACAAAAAAGGACGTGCCCAGTTTGGGTGGTAAGTTCTGTATGTGACTGCTTCAGTTGGATCAGGACAGAGGTTTTGTGGCACTCAGCATTTTTCTCCAGGAAGCAGAACTGCTGACAGTTACTGAGGACTAAGTTAATGTAACAATCATTCTTAGAGGATTGCTGAGATTCTCCTCCCAGCCATCACCAGTAACCTTTCAAACTAGGAAGTTACACTTTATCCATGTCCATTTAAAAATGATACAAACTAGGGAGTTACATTTTATCCATGTCCATTGAAAAATGATAGAGACTCCTCCCTGCCTGCCTGCCCTCAGGCACACAGTGCTGATCTATGAGCCTTGTTTTTTTTCGAGACAGTCTCCCTTTGTCACCCAGGCAAGAGTATAATGGCGTGATCTCAGCTCACTGTAACCTCTACCTCCCGGGTTTAAGCCATTCTCCTGCCTCAACCTCCTTAGTTGCTGGGATTACAGGTGTGTGCCACCACGCCCAGCTAATTTTTATATTTTTTGTAGAGATGGGGTTTTGCCATGTTGGCCAGGCTGGTCTCGAACTCCTGACCTTGGGTGATCCACCTGCCTTGGCCTCCCATAGTGCTGGGATTACAGGTGTGAGCCACTTTTTGATAAGAGATATTTTGTTTGGCAGTCGGTTGCTTTTCAATGCAGGATTTTGACATGTAAGAATGGTTTGTTTTCTTCCTAAATGAACAATCTCACTTTGTGGTACAGTAAGCTCTCATGTCATCATAGGTTCTTAGAAACTGCAGTTTCAAGCAAGACAATGTACAACAACAGGTCCTTGAATAAGATAGTTTTGTTCACTGAAAGTCAGTTTCTAAAAGCCTATCCATGAAGTTGAGTGAGGATTTACTCTGTGTGTGTGTGTGTGTGTGTGTGTGTGTGTGTGTGTGTGTGTGTGTATGGTTTTTGTTTGTTTGTTTTTTGTGTTTTTTTTGTATTTTGTCAGGACGGGGTTTCACCATGTTTCTAGGCTGGTCTCAAACTTCTAGTCTCAAGCAATTTACCTGCCTTGGCATCCCAAATTGTCACGCCACCGTGCCCAGCCTCTTACTGTATATTATTTCACTCGTTTATTTCAGATGATTTCAGCCTCATGTTAATTGCATGTTTTGTGCCATATATTTTCAAAGTTTGTAATATTCTTTTATATTCTTTGATCTAATAACAAGCTTTGGCTTATCTTGTTTCTTTGGCCTGATGATTTGGGTGTCAAGCTGAAATCACAGCCCTAGAAGCTTGGGTGTGGCTGTTCAGTTTAGTGCTCCAGCTTCATGGTGGGGGAGAGTGGAGGCTGGGCACAGTGTCCTCTGGGAGCCCACAGAAGGCTCATTCAGAGCAGGTTCAAGCCCAGGCCTCCCGATTCCCCAGGCAGTACAGTTCATTTGAGGTTTTCTCCTGAAAACAAATTTAATAATTGACTTAGGGTATATTATAGCTTCCCAACAACTTTTCCCCCACTCTTGGGAGAATAAACCAAGTTTCTTCATGTTGTTTATTTTTAGGGTCAGACTTGCTTTGCTCCCTTTCCTTTGTTTTCCTAATATATTTTTAAAAATTAGGTGCAGCAAATCATTTTTAGGAGTTGTTTATTACAATAGTTACATTTACTTCATTGATCACTGACAGTGCTGTACAGTTCTTAAGAAAGGGCCTTTCATTAAAAACTAGGTTATTATTATACTATTTTGAATTATATAACACCGATTTTTATCAAGGAATTAAAAGATACCATCACTGGTGGAAATCTTCTGCAGAGACGTTTGTGGTGTGGGGTGACCACACATCTTCTCTTGTCTTCCCACATGTCCGTGTGGCGGTAGGATTCCGTTTTTCTTAGTGATGGTGACTTGCTGCAGCGGTCAAGGTGGAGATGGGTGTTTTCCTATGTCAGTGCAGAAGTGGAGTATTTTCAGGCTCATGAACGAAAGGTGATGTTGGACATTTCAGAACAATTTTACCCATGGGCCCAAGCAGCTTCTTAGAAAATGCTAAAGTATTTCAGAGGAGCTCTATATTGCACGGGAATTTATTTAGAGAAACTCTGTTATCATTTGAAAATGATTTTTCTACTCAGGCAGCTGAGGGCCAACTGGACTGCCAGGGCCGTGGGTCCTCTGCGACCAGAGGCCCATCACCAGCACTGTCCTGATCTAGTTGTCATTTCAGTGACTGCTCCTTTTACCTCTGAATTGCAAACTGTTAATTTAACTTCATTATCAGTTTAGTTTGTGTGATGTGTCTATTAATACCTATTTTTATAAACAGTATTTTCTAGTAACTAGACTAATATGTAGGTATGTCATGGTTTAGCATGAACAGTCTCTTCCTGTTGCAGCTAAAACCATCCCCTGCCACTAGCTTGTGACACATCGTGATGATCATGGGTTTTTTTTCTATTGGAATATAGGACTGGTAGAGGAGCTACATGGCCACAGGAGTCTTGTACAGCCTGAATGGGCCACGGTCTAGTAAAAGGTGAAGACCATTGACCTGATGTGAAAGTTGGAAAAGACCTAAGATTGATTTGCCCCCATCTAGATGCAGGGGTGGGCTGGGACGCCTGTCCCATCCTCCCTTCCTATGTATGATTCACCTCCATCTGCATGCAGGGGTGGGCTGGGACACCTCTCCTGTCCTCCATGCCTGTGAGATTGTGGAACACTGATAGTGCCTTTCGGACAAAGCTCAGAAGGAGTACCAGCTATCACTACCTTTTTAGAATGGCTAAATGTAAATTTAGATATAAAGATTTAAATTGTTATATATATATATATCTTGGTTTATATCCCTTTGTATGCATAATTGTAATTTATGTACAGAATTTCAAAAATGTATCTTCTGATTTCAGATTATAGTTGATTTTAACCATGATTTCAGAAAATAAACTAAGTTGCATCCCGAACTCAGCCTGCATGTTTTGTTATATAAAAGTCAGAAAAAATCAGCCTTTCAGAATTTACCAAACCCAGCCGGGTGCGGTGGCTCATGCTTGTATTAGCACTTGGGGAAGCCGATGTAAGTGGTTTGCCTGAGCTCAGGAATTCAAGACCACCGTGGGGTCAACATAGTGAAACCTTGTCTCTACTAAAATACAAAAAATTAACCAGGTGTGGTGGCTGCTTCTGGAATCCCAGCTACTCTGGCAGCTGAGGCATGAGAATCACTTGAGCCTGGGAGGCACCGGGTGCAGTGAGCTGGGATCATGCCACTGCACTCCAGCCTGGATGACAAAGGGAAATTCCCTCTCAAAAATAAATAAATAAAAGAATTTACCAAACTGCCTGCAGTTGGCAAACATGATTGAGTATATGTGCTCTGGAGTACAAGAAAGTAAATTCCTAATTAGCGACTCCATTGAACAGTGTGCTCTTAAGCTATACAATAGAGGTTGATTGATGAGGACAGATAAGGAAGCTCAAAGTCTTTTAATAATCTCCTCTGTAAAAACCGAATTTCTTCAACAAAAGCTGTCCTTGGTTCCTTTCCTCTCCACGCTCAGCTCCCTGATGGCTCAGAGATCCCGCTCCCTCCTATTCTGCTTGGCAGTCTGGGCTCCGACCCACAGAAGAAAACGGTGTGCATTTACGGGCACTTGGATGTGCAGCCTGCGGCCCTGGAGGACGGCTGGGACAGCGAGCCCTTCACCCTGGTGGAGCGAGACGGTGAGCACTGCATGCCCGTGTGTGCCCAGAGGAAAAGCACTGACCTTTGCAAAGTCACTGCTAGTCTGGTTTTCTCTGTTTCCAGTACATACTGTTTTTATTTCATTTTATTTTTATTTTTATTTTTTTGAGACCTGTTGTCCAGGCTGGAGCGCAGTGGCAAGATCTTGTCTCATGGCAATCTCCATGTCCCGGGTTCAAGCGATTCTCCTGCCTCAGCCTCCCGAGTAGCTGGGACTACAGGCATGCGCCACCATGCCTGGCTAATTTTGTATTTTTAGTAGAAACGGGGTTTCACCATGTTGGCCAGGCTGGTCTCGAACTCCTGACCTGATGATCCACCCACCTTGGCCTCCCAAAGTGCTGGGATTCCAGGCATGAGCCACTGTACCTGGTACAGACTGTGTTTAACATAAGCTAAAAATGGAGGTTTCTCACATGTGCCTCTGTCGCTGACCTTCCGGAAAGCCTGTTTTCACATGTGCAAACCAGTTCTCCGTGACTGGGGGTGACTGGGGCCAGCCAGGCTTCCTCTCCTGCTGACGCTTCTTCTCAGAATGTACATTTCCAATCAGAGCAGGGCTGTCCTGAAAAGCCTGTCGCCTCATACTCCTCCTCTGTCCCAACCGACAGCTGCTTCTGCGGTGTATGTTGGTGGCCTCCTTCACCCCGGCTGCCCTGGTGGAGGTGGCAATGTCGCTGTTATTCACGGAGTGCTTCTGTGTGCCGGGCACCTACAGGCCTTTGAGGCCCGTGCTGTGAGTGACCCCGCAGGCTGGCCTCTTTTCTTCCTGCTCCTTCTGGGGTAAAGGCCTTCCACTTTCCACTTTCAATTCTGAATTTCTACATGCGCCTGCACAATACCGCGTTTGACCAGATGAGGAATCCTCCCTCCCTGGTGGCGGGCCCCTCCTAGCTAAGTTCTAGCCTCTTCTCATCGAAGCCCTTCCATCTGAATCATTGCCTCTGTGCTCTAACCTTTCCTGCCTCGGTGTCGGTTGTGTTCATTACTGTGCAAAATTGAAAATGATTTTACTGAAAGCAAGGTTTTCGATGAGATGTAATTCTATGCCATTGCCATTGTCACAGTGGAATTGCTGACTTGCGGTCGATTGTAGGATTAACCCTCTGTGCGCTTGGACGCCCCTCGCGCGTGGTCCGGCGTGTCTGCTGGCCGGGCCCTCGCTGCTCGAACTGGCTCCCTCTGAACAGAAATCCTTGTCTTTACTACTTGTCTGCTGTCTCACAGTCTCTGTGGATGGCACCATCTTCTGCCACCTGCACCAGGAACTGGGTCCCCATCCCTGCCAGGCCCTCCTCCAGGCCATTGCCTTTCCCACGTTGAAAGCCCCCTGTCGCCACCTCCCGCCCCATGCTGGGTCCTGCTCCCACTTCTGAGCCTTCACGGTGCCACTCCTTTTCCAGGCTGTTCCCAGAGTGACCTCAGCATGCCACTTCTCTCCTTGACTCCCCCTGGAGGACTCAGGATGGCACAGAGGGTCCCTCCCCTCGCCTGCCTTCTGCCTCCTCTTCTCCCACCTGTACCCAGCCACATGGGACCACGTGCAGCCCTCAGGAGCCTGTGGGGCTCAGAAGTGCACCTGCATGGGCGTCAGCCCCATCACCGCTGCCTCGTCCTCTGTGGGGCCTGTCTCCGACCACCCTCTCAGCCCTCCCTGTCCCAGCCTCACCTGTACCGAGGGAAGCATCACTGCCAGCCGCACTGCCTCCTCTCCTTGTCAGGGAGCCTTGGAGGGTGGGGGCAGGTCACATTTGCCCGCGGCTCTGAGCCAGGACCGTGCCAGCCACCGTACTTGTTCAGTGTTTGTCACAGGGATAAGGATTTTTTTTAGAAGAGTTTATATTTGATCTTCAGTTTTTGTGAAAAGTTGGGTTTCATTCATAAAAGAAAACTCTCCAGGTAGTGATGACTTTCAGCCTCATGCTACTATGGGCTGGGTCATGCTGAGACTGCGGGACCTGGGAAGCAGGCCGAGCCCCGGGAGGTCGGGAGACCAGCTGGGAAGACCGAGGCCCAGCAGAGGGCCGTGTCCTGAGGCCGGCTCCTCCTCAGTCTGGTTCCATGAGGCCGGCACCATGTGGCAGAAGATGGAGGAGGGGTGGGGCCTTGTCTTCAAGATGTCACTTGTGTTGTCAGCTTCCTCAGAAGCAAGTGTGGTGAGGGGCCACTGTGACTGATGACGCTGATAAGAAGCCTTGTCTGTAGTTTTCAGAGTGATAACTACAGAAGGAAGTAGAGGCTAAATGAGAAACATGCTAGTTCTCTGTTTTTTATCGAATTAAGTGTCACAATTGGGTGGGGGTGAGATTATGGTCCTTTTTTGACAAAGGTGCCTTAGGTTCCTGAGCAACTGGGTTTCCAGTCCCCATTGCTCCCCAATGCTTCTGGTAAATGGGTTTTAATGAACTAAGCAGCTGGCTACAGCTTCCTGAAGTTAGAACTGGAGGTCTCCACCCTAACCCAGCAGGAAGCCATGCCCCCCGCTGACGCTGTGACCATGTTGGGAGAGGGAAGGGGTGACGTGGGAGCATCCACGTGGCTTATCTCTTCGATGATGGCGAATTCTTTGGCACATTTAATGATAGTGTTGGGTGGAGACTCGGGTCTCCTGATTGGAAGGGGAAGCTTCCCTCGTGTTTGCTTTGCTAAGGGGTCATCAGATGTGCACTTGAGATATGCTGCTTCTGGGTTCGTTGTAATCATCAATTTATGAATTTGTGGATTGCTGTTCTAGGCAAGCTGTATGGGAGAGGTTCAACTGATGATAAGGGCCCCGTGGCCGGCTGGATGAACGCCCTGGAAGCGTATCAGAAAACAGACCAGGTATGCCCTCTATGCTGACTCCTGCCTGGGCCTGGGTTCCATCTGAGCCATAGGAAGACAGCCTCTCTGTTCACACAACAGCTTGTAGAGCTCACAGGAAAAGAGAAGACAGGCATCCCCCAGCCCTTATCAGCACAGGTGACTCAGATTTAAGAGTATAGGTTTGTTTTCCAGCTTTAGGAAACATTCAAAGTTTAATTGTTTTACAGCTGCTCAAAGGTCATCATATTGGCAACTCAGCATGATTTTTGCCACCTCAGGAAATGTGACAATGTGACTTTTCAGCCCCTGACTGTCCCTGTGAGTGTGATTCCTTGCCAGAATGTAATGCACCCTTAGTGACATCATACAGGCCCCTCACTCTCTCTGTGTGGTTTACATCCTCCTAAAAATAAATTCTGTTTTTTAAAATATATTTTCCGGCCTGGTGCGGTAGCTTACACCTGTAATCCCAGCACTTGAGGTCAGGAGTTCGAGACCAACTTGGCCAACGTGCTGAAACCCCATCTCTACTAAAAATGCAAAAATTAGCTGGGCATGGTGGTGAACACCTGTAATCCCAGCTCCTGGAAGGCTGAGGCAGGAAAATTCCTTGAACCAGGGAGGTGGAGGTTGCAGTGAGCCGAGATGGTGCCACTGCACTCCAGCCTGGGTAACAGAGTGAGACTCTACCTCAACAAAAGAAAGCTGTGAAATATCTGCTCATTGTTCAAGGTTTGCTAAAAAGCAGACAAGTAGAGAGAAAAATACTGGCCTAGAATCCAAAGACAATTAGTATTTTGAAATTTACCAGGATTTTCTGTGGCTTTTTGCCTAGTTGTGATCATGCTGTGTAGACATCTTTGCATCTTGCTTTTATCTGGTATCCTGATAAAATAAGAATAAGATAAGCATTTTTGTCAAAGCATGGAATGTTAGTTGTGAAAACGATCTCAGCCCTTCTGGTCCAGAGGATCACTTTACATGGTGGGAAAGTGATGCCCAGAACCACCTGGCCTGGCACGGCGGAGCCTGCATGCTGGGCAGGAACTCAGAAGCCTCCCAAACTCTGGCCTCGTGGAGCCCTCAGCCTCAGCTGCAGTGGAGGCACCTCAGGCTGTGGGGGAACCAAGGATGACAGGTGGCTATGCACAGGGAGAGGGCCTGTGAAAGATTTTATGTGAAGGGCAGAGCAGGAGGAGGAGCCGGCAGGGGAGGAAGCACGTTCATGAACAGGGCAGTCTGGGGCAGCCTAGGCAGTCTGGAACTAGGACTCAGTGGCCTTGAGTCCTCATTTAGGCCCTGCAGTTCTTTATCCTGTGTGGCCTTTGGCAAATCACGAGTTTTGTGCACAACCTCATTTTTTCACCTTTTGAGTGTGTGGGCTAGAGTCAGAAGAGCAGCTGTGAAGCTACAAAACATGATCCAGACACTCGGCGAGGTGTGCAGGTTGCCACCGGGCCCCTCAGGAAGAGCGGCGCTTCTGTGCCCGGGAGCAGCACAAGGTCACGTGGGAGGACCCACGCCGCCTGCGTCAGTGGCTCCCCCGGTTTAATCAGGACTCACGTGGTGTTGTTTGTGTCGTGGCCCTTACTACAGAGGGAGCAGCACAGGCTTTCCTGAGGCGCTCCTCGGCCATGTGGGGTGGCTGCAGAGAGCCCCATCTGGCGGGACTGGACTGGTCAAAGTGGCCTGGAGCCACAGTGGCCTGGCAGGGCCTGGGGAGGGGGTGATGACAGGTGTACACAGAGGCCCATGTGATTGGTCTGGAGAAGGCCGGAGATTTGAAATGTGTAATCCTAAGTGTGGTTTCTAGAAGGAAAGTTCGCAAAGCTGAATATCCGCTCGTGCTGTTCCCTTCTCATAGGAGATTCCTGTCAATGTCCGGTTCTGCCTCGAAGGCATGGAGGAGTCAGGCTCTGAGGGCCTAGACGAGCTGATTTTCGCCCAGAAAGACAGCTTCTTTAAGGACGTGGACTACGTCTGCATTTCTGACAACTACTGGCTGGGGAAGAAGAAGCCCTGCATCACCTATGGCCTCAGGGGCATCTGCTACTTCTACATCGAGGTGCAGTGCGGAGTCCTACGGCTTCATTTTTCTCTAACCTCTGAGTCTCCTGGTTCTTCCAAACCCAAAGTAGGCAAGGACCCAGAAGTCAGGCACACAGGATGGAGAAGCACAGGGCTCACTTAGCACCCCAGTTCCCAGCTTCCATACCCCAGATTTACAGCAACACCCGCAGTGATCAGGAGTTAATCTCACAGCAGCATTAAACTATGTCAGTGTGATTTGCGATGCTGCCTTGGAGCAGCTGAGAGGAGATAAAATGTTAGTTCATTTCGGAAGATGCAGACACATACAAAGCATTTTAGAAACACTTCCTTCTGAAAGTTGAAATATTTATACGTTAATACTTAGGCTGTTCATTTCGGAAGATGCAGACACATACAAAGCATTTTAGAAACACTTCCTTCTGAAAGTTGAAATATTTATACGTTAACACTTAGGCTCCTTATACCATGACTAAGTGACTGACTACATGGGATAAAGAGAAACCGAGACCGGGCATGGTGGCTCACGCCTGTAATCTCAGCACTTTGGGAGGCTGAGGCAGGCAGATTACTTGAGGCCAGGAGTTTGAAACCAGCCTGGCTAACATGGAGAAACCCCATCTCTATTAAAAATACAGAAAGTTAGCCAGGTGTGGTGGTGAGCACCTGTAATCCCAGCTACTCGGGAGGCTGAGGCAGGAGAATTGCCTGAACCTGGGAGGCAGAGGTTGCAGTGAGTGGAGATTGCACCACTGCACTCCAGCCTGAGGGACAGAGTGAAACTCTGTTTCAAAAAAAAAAAAAAAGAGAAACCAAAGCAGCACTGAGCCTGGGAAAGGCCAGGCCTGGGCCAGATTCTGCCGCTCACTGGCTGGTGGTCATCTCCCAATACCCCACAGGGTAACGTGTGATTAAATTAGGTCCTGTCTACACACGTCATTTGTAACCTGAACAGTGCTAAAAATCACTGCAGTTGCTACCCTGGGCCCTAACTCTGAGCAAGGCACCATTCTGGTTTTATAGGTGGCCCCGTGTCACCCCCAGTGCTGGGAGGAGCATTGCACCTCAGCCCATTTGCAGGCGAAGAGCTGGGCACGTGGCAGGCAGCTGCTTTACGCTTTGTATGTGCTGCTCAGTGCAAGGGTGAGGTCTGACCTCGGGTCTCAGGCTCTGGGCCTGTGGCAGGTCTCATGTTGGGCTGCCCTCAGCAGAGGTGCAGGGTATTCATGAAACTTCTAGAAAAGGCTCTGAGTGGTAGGCAGATTGCCCTGTGGAATGCTTGTACCTGTGGCTAGTGTTACCAGCTTATCTGTGCTTGGCATATGCAAGAGTATTTTTTGTTCCTGCCTAAGGTTTTAATTTGGGAAATGCCTTGCTTTCCTCCCTGAGAGAGCAGATTTTGATTTGGAAAATTGTCAGGCCTTGTAAATGCCCTTTGTTGAATTCACTGTCACATGACAAAAGTAAGCTCCCACTAGGCAGCCAGACACAGCGGCCTTTGTTTCCATCCAGGTGGAGTGCAGCGACAGAGACCTGCATTCCGGGGTGTACGGGGGCTCGGTGCACGAGGCCATGACTGATCTTGTTTTGCTGATGGGTAAGTGTCAGATTGGCGTTCAGTCGCCATTTAAGGGAAAGTGGACGGGCATGATTTCCAGACTGTCTGTCATCAGCTTTGGTGCCTTTCAGCATTCCACATGAACCAACTTGCGTCTCGGTTTCCAACTGCACCTCCCCCTCCCTCCACTCACTTGTCCCTCTGAGAGGCCCCCTTGTTTTATTTTTGCCTCTGAAACCCTCCCGTGCCTGTCACCACCTGTTGAAACCTTGCCCTGCCTCCAGCAGCCAACTCAGATGCCCCCAGGTCCTGTCTGGCCAGGCCCCTCGAGGCACGTGCTGCTGTCCTTCCTCTGGATGTGGTCATTTGACATCTCTCGCAGGGCACATGTTTTGATCTGTCTTACATGATAACCAGCCCCATCCACATCCCCCTGCTTGATCAGCTCTTTGAGAGCAAGCACCCCATCGCGCTGTTCCCGGCGTCTTTTTGCAGTGAGGCCACCCACAGCCCACTCTTCCCACACCACCCCCCAAGCTCTCCTTTCCTCTCCACCAGACGCCAGCCACCCACGTGATGTCCACTCTGTTACACCCACAGTTTACCCCCCTCAGTTCGGGAGCAGCTTGTTTCTTGTGGAATGCACATTAAAAAGGCACATGGGCAGTGCAGTAGTTGTCAGAATGGGGCTGCATGAAGCCAGCCTGCTGGTTTGCCTCCTGGTCCATGACCAAGGACAATTCCCTTTCCCCACCTTCTCCTCAGTCTCCTTATCTGAGAAATGGGCATGCCCAAGCTGCTGCCTCATTGGCTGCTCTGCTGATTACATCACTGGCTGAGCCTAAGGCCCTGGACAGCACCTGAGAGGCATTGCATGCTGGGACGCATCCGTGAACATTATTCTGTGGACTGTGGTGGCTGCTCTTGTCCCCTCCTTCAGCCACGTGGCTGTGGGGCTGCGTCTCTCCCGAGCTATGCTCCTGGGGTTGGTGCAGGAAAAAGCAGCTCGCCTTTGCGCAGCCCCCCGAGTGCTGTAACCCTCTCCTGCTTCCCTCAGGCTCCTTAGTGGACAAGAGGGGGAACATCCTGATTCCCAGCATTAACGAGGCTGTGGCCGCCGTGACGGAAGAGGAGCACAAGCTGTACGACGACATTGACTTTGACGTGGAGGAGTTTGCCAGGGATGTGGGGGCGCACACCCTCCTGCACTGCTGCAAGGTGCTGGCCCAGGGCTCGGCCCTGCCACTTCCCTGGGTCCCGGGGGTCCCCGAGGGAAGGAGCTGGAATGTCCAGTGCACATGAGTCACCAAACGGTGCAGACATTCCGAAAGCAGGCGTGACTGGGTTGCTAGTCGTTGGGATTTTTAAATATCAAAATCCACTTTTGATTCCATCAGGCCTGGAGAAGCATGCAGAGGGGACACAGGCTGTCACCTGCTGCAGCGGCTCTGCCGTGTTCATGTTTGTAGAGTCACCTCCTTACCACTGGGCCCAGGGACCATTAAGCCACTCCAGAGCCGAGTGCTGGGTGGAAACTGTATAGAATATTCACATGTTAGGGGAAAAGTGGGTCATGACTTTTCTAACAGGCCATAGGTTTATGAGGTATACGTAGGTTCTGCACCGTTGATTCAGCCTACATCCATGGAATCAAGCACTTAGGTGCCTGGGAGACAAGGGAAATAAGGCCAGGCTGGGCCCTTGAGGTTTGTCTCTCAGAGACAGACAGGCAAGAACTTCTAACAGAGTTGGCAAGAACTCTTTAATTTGGGAAATGCCTTGCTTTGCTCCCTGAGAGAGCAGATTTTGATTTGGAAGATTGTCAGGGAATTTTCCTGACAAGGGCCATGCTGGGGAGTTCCAGAGGCTGTGGGCCTACGTGAGCAGAGGGGCGTGGTCCTGGGAACAGCCGAGCCTCTGGTCACAGGGTCCCGTCGGCCAGCAAAGGTGCAGGGTGAGGCTGGCGTGCTGGGTCAGTAGGAGCACAGACATGTAGGCTGCTTGGGGTCAGACAGGCAGCAGAGTGATGTGCCACCAAGACCGATGGGGCTGCCGTGGAGCTCCGGGTCTTCCTAGGAGACGTGAGCCACAGCAAGGCTTTGAGTTCATTGGATCTCAATGACAGTGGGAAAGGTTATGGGTCGGGGTGTTGGAGCTGGGAGACCTGTGAGGCTGTTGCAGGCGCCGGAGCCTTGGCTGGCATCAGGGGGACAAGGGAGGTTGGGGGACACTCAGCCCCTCAGGGAGGAGCCTCTGGAATAGCAAGAGAAGGTCCCCAACAACAGTGACTGAACAGAGATGTCATGGACTGAGGGGTTGGGGAAAAGGTGGGTCTGTTTCTCTGCCCTGTTCTCTCAGACTTGGATTTGCTTCTGTGCAGGGGGTTTTAGGGCCTTGTCTATGCCTCCCAGATAACATTGAGCTGTTTGGTTCACAAACAGAAATCTACACATTCAATGGCTAAATCACTGAGGAGCCTTCTGGAAGCTCCTTTGGGGCACACCTACTCTCTTGACCTGCCTTCTGCTGCTGCAGGGACACAGAGGGAAGGAGCAGGCAGGAAGGTCATGGTGTTGATGACACACTTGGGAAGCAGGAGACAAGGTCTCCCCTGGTCTGAGGATACAGCATCATCGGTATTCACAGGCCGTACCAGATGCACTGATCAGCCTGGCTCTGCTATCTCAGTAGGAATGGGCCGCATACCCATGTCCCGTGGGCCTGGGAGGGGTCTGCACATGCATCATCAGTATTCACGGGCCGCACACCCGTGTCCC